TGTTGTGTGGGACAGTATCAAATGCTTTGGATAAGTCCAGATAGATGTCAGTTGCTCTTCCCCTATCCATCAATGCTGTAAACTCATCATAGAAGGCCACCAAATTAGTCATGGAGGATTTGCCCTTAGTGAAGCCATGCTGGCTGTCACCAATCACCTCCTTGTTTTCTATGTGCCTTAGCATAGCCGCCAGGAGGATCTGCTCCATGATCTTGCTGGGCACAGAGGTGAGACTGACTGGCTTGTAGTTCCCTGGGTCTTCTTTTTCCCCCTTTTTAAAGATGGGGGCTATGTTTCCCCTTTTCCAGTCAGTGGGAACTTCACCAGATTGCCACGACTTCTGAAATATGATGGATAGTGGCTTAGCAACTTCATCTGCCAGTTCCCTCAGGACCCGCGGATGCACCTCATCTGGTCCCATGGACTTGTCCACCTTCAGGTTCTTTAGATGGTCTCGGACCCGATCTTCTCCTACAGTGGGCAGTTCTTCATTCTCCCAGTTCCTGCCTTTGCCTTCTGTGACTCGGGCTGTGCAGCTGGAGCTCTTGCCAGTGAAGACTGAGGCAAAGAAGTCATATCTCATACCCTTATTTTCTCTAAATACTGTGTTAATTAGAAGGGCTTCATCTCTTTAAATGCAATAAAACCAGAAACACCTTCATGCTCTGAACTGGCTCACACAAAGAAAGAATACGGTGCACCACAGGAAATACTGGCTAATTAAAATGCAAAACCAATAAAGAGAAATGGGGGTGTCGAATATCAGCAACTCTCTTCACTTGAACTTTGTGGGTTAAAACCAAAATATCAGGCTCTTAAATTGAAATTTCAGGTAATATAGTAAAAATTTTCAGAGAAAAATATTTTTATTGATTATACTAAATATTCATTTACCTGTCTGATACTACTAATCATTTTAAGTGCTTTCCTTAAATGATTTTTGGTCTCATTTCTCTAGTCGAAAAACACTGTAACTTTTTCATATTGCATAGAGAAATTATGAAACTAGTAGAGAGTTGTGACAATCAGGTACAAAGTAGCATTACACATAAAGATGAAAAAAAAGCCTACAGGTGCAAAAAAAAATGTTTCCCAGGGATTGAGGAAATACTATACTGAATGCCGTACATGTCAATATTGTAACTTTTTCTGTGAGTGCATTAGCGCTGCACCCATGCTGGCAACTACATTTTTGTAATGCTCACCTTATCCAGACATACTTGTCGCTTTCTGGTTTTCAGGGACAGGCCATTTTAAGAGAGTCTCAAAGTTCTAAACCGAACAGCTTGGATGTATATACATGAGAAAGTGTCCTTGCTGATGAAATGCTACATTTTCTCTTGCCCATGCCCCGATGCATCCATCAAAAAACAACCAAGCAAAAAGCCTTGTTACAATCATGCTTCTGGAGCGACTAAATGGGAAATCTATCTGAGGGCTTTTGCTACACGTGAGTTTAGTGTACATGCCCCTGCAAAAGATACAGGGGATTCTTCAGGACTGTTCAACACTCGAGTTTCTGCTAAGATGCCTTAGCATGTGAGCAGCGGTGTCAGCAGTAGTGCTGAATTTTGTGATGGCTATACTCCAGTAACAGGATGTTGCTGGACTTAATCAAATTCATTGGCACAGGATACCACGAGATATCAGAGCCAGTAGAAGGGCCCGTTAACAATAGCTTGGCTTTTGCAGTCTGTGTGACACATATCCAGAATTTTAAAGGCATTCAAAGCTGCTCTTCATTTCATTATGAGTTACAGGCTTAAACACCTTAGATAATTTTTGTGCATATGCCATCTAGAACAGTAGCATTTTAGTCTCCTTACTTACCTGGTTATGTTTGATATCTTCAGCAGGTGCACCGTACGAATTCCTGTACAAAGTTGAGATTCCAGTGTTCTGAGCTGGAGAGAGAAAAAAGGAAGGACAAAGCAGGTTTACCAGACATACTTATTTGGCCACAAAATGAATTCTGAAGGCTTCATTAAATACATTATACAGCACCTGTTTCCCAAACACAAAAATCTTTAAAAGCACCTGCAGGCTTCTATTTTCTCTTCCTCCCAGTGAACACTCATAACCTTTGCTTTGGTGCACATGCATGTACATGGTATACACTTAGGGTAACAGGTGTCATGTCATGCTTGTATCAATCTTGTGCACTTCACATATAAATCAACAAAATAATTTCATATACAGATAGGATTCAGTAATATATTTCAGGTAATATATGGGACTTTATATCATATATACACTACACAGGTAACAGTTGTAAATATTGAGATTAAGAAACATTTCATTCCTTTCACTTCAGTTGGATGATGTTACATCAAATCCTGGATTATTTATCCTGCAGTACGTTTGATATATGGTGAAATTATTAATGGAAAAAGTGATTAAATGCAACTGAAAAATGAGTTATGCAAAAAAGTAATATGTAGTTATACTGAAGAGATCTGACCAGGATAGTCTCAAATTCACGAACTGCTGTCACTTTCTTCTCAGATGTCCTACTACTAAAATGCACGGACAAAACTGAGCTATGAGTTTGAAATCAAAAATAATTCTAAAGACAAGGATAACACCATACAGATTTGCAAAAATTTATTTCCCACCCTGCCCCTCCAAAAAAACACACAAAAAGCTAAGGGTTTTCCCTGCAAAGCTAACTTCACTGACCACTTTGTTTTGGCTATCCAGCTGAAGCTTAGTTAGCTGGTACAACTAGAATGATTGTCGTTATTTCTCGTATTCGAAAGAACATCAGGGTAGTATTTTGTGTGGCTACTGTGCACTGTTCTTACTGGGAATGCGTTATTAACTTTCCAGACATTATAACTAACGATTTCATGCTGTCATGAGGACTCTCATTACAAAAGCATGTGCCTGAAAGTAAAAATTGAGTAGTTGTGAGCTGAAACATGTTGCTCACGCAACTTCTCTACGGTTTCTGTGTAATGGTGTAAAACTTGGAGGCAGCAAGAGTTGCTTTTAATACCTTCATAACTCGAAACCTTTGAGGGTGAGGACTGAGCATCAGAGCTGAAAGCTGGGTATGGGATCCATGCTAGTCACATCACTGAGAAGAACCACAGTTACTGAAGAAGTAACCACTCTTTCTTCCTTTAGCAACCTGCTAGCATGGACCCCAGCATGTACAACTGCCTCCATCTCTCTCCCAGCCACCACAAAGTCTCTGGAGAAAGGAATGGCATGGTCTTTACTCTAAGCCAACTGCAATACGACAATTCTGATCTTCACATCTGCTACAAGTTCCATGCTGAGGGTATCATTTTTGTCAGAGTTTGGTGCACTGGTCCATGTTGCTGCTTTACCCATCTCAGATGGCGTTCTTGAAGATCTCCAGCATGTTCTTGAAACACGATAAAGATAGGGCTTACATGGTGGAGAAATGAGCCCTAATGGCTGGAAAAAGAGATTTTTCACTTGATAACCATTAACTAATAGGGATGAAGAAAGTCTTGTTTCTTGAAAAACTGGTTGCAGTTACTGAGAGTGCATAGTCCTGTGTAGGAAATGGAGAAGAGCTCTCAAGGTATCCAAGGAGTGCAGCAGGATCCTTTCTTTGAAGATGAGAAGAATATGGTCTACAGTAAGAGATGATGATTGGTCTTTTCCAGTGCTAAGTAGTCTTAATTCTGCTTGTGTGCCAATAGGTGGTAACAGATGGAAATGATGACTGCTTGACTAGTTTGTGTCTGGCCATAGACGTTAGTACCAAAGGGCTGATCTGCAGAGGTTCTCTCTGCTTAGGCTCTATTTTGTCACCAAATTTGAGTGATGTGTGAGACTTGACTGTTACTTCAGAGTATTTCATATTCCAGCTGCATCCTCTGCTTTAGTGTTTGAAAACCTCCCTCTTGATGACAGTCTTTGGTGTTAGAGGAGTCTGCGTCAGCATTGCTATTTATGGTGCATCTCATGGCATGAGTCTCAGCAGTACAACTGCCAGGTCTTTCCTCGATACCATCTTTTTTATGCTGTTTTTCTGAGTTTTTTGCTTGTCCTAGAAAGTGCTAGAAGAAGTTGGCTATACACATTCCTCTTCTCAAGATCTAAAGATACTCAGAGTTAGTGTTTCGCTATCCATTTAGTGAAGTGCTATCTCTTGAAAAAATGAAAGTGATACTCAATGCGTTGGACTCTTACACAGGGGAAGAAAGTCTTGTAACTGTCTTGGTTTCAGGTATACCAACTGCAAGACAAGCAGGGTTGAAGTTTCATGCAAGCAAGTTTTTAGTCAGGCACGACTGACCATATTCAGTTCAGACAGGGCAATACTGTTCATGGTTAGTTGATGTCAAGAATAAAAGACTGGTATAAGGTGCAACATCTGAAGGTTTTATGAAGAATCTGATGAAAAATAGCAAACTGGACACATGCTAATTTATATGTTGTTCCTACAAGCAATCAGAGAGACTTTAAGGAGAATCATGTCCGTTCCATCTTTTTACAGGTATATAAAAACGCACATGGTACGTATGTGCCTCTAATAGCCACAACCATTATAAAACCAGAAGTAGTCCAGAGTTGGTGCATAGCTGTCCAATGCACTACTGTGACATTTGCACTGATGTGCTCAGAATTGTCACATGCCAGACATGTGAAGACTTACAGTCTCCCAGATCACATATTCTGCAATGGAAAAATGGATAGTTTCAGCTTATGAAAATAGCTGCAAGGTCTGCATTGCTGATTTCACCGCAGTGATGTGGATACAAATTCACGAGTTTAAACTGCAAAAAAATGTAGTATTCTTTCTCAATGGAATAAAAAGAAATAGAATGACACATCAAATGCTTGGAAATGAATGCCAAGAGTTCAAGAACAAGAAATCTTGGCTTTGTCTAGCTGGGATGCTGAGATAATTCTGTCTCTGGAGGAAACGCAAGTCAAGCAATTTAGCTGCTAGCAATGCATGCAGCCCCGCTCCAGTACCTGCTTCTGAACACACAGGTGGCATCCCTGGGAATTCCCTTCCTGCTCTGCCATGCTTCAGTGAGCAGTTGACTCTTGCTGTCCAAAAACAGAGGGCAAATATAAAAGAAAGAAGGGAGAGAATGAGCTAGATGAATGGACACATATTGTGTGGTTAGTATCTGATTTTTACTGTTACTATTGTATATGTACCATCATAATAAAATTATCAAACAGAGAGAAAAAGAGGTTAATGAAATATTTTTTTTTTCTAACACATGACAAGAGAAGGGAAAGGGGCAGAAGGGGCAAGAGATGGGGATTTTCCAGCAGCTACACTTCCTTACAGAGATGCGAGAAATGTAGCTGCAGATGAAATGATTTAAGGAGTGATGAGTGTGTGTGTGTGTGTGTTTTTTATGTGTGTGTTTTATGCAGTATCTAAACATCAGTGCATGATAGTACTGAAGGGGTACTTTTTACTAAGCAAAATTGTGAAGGTTCTAAAATGAGTACTATGATCAACCTGCAGTACTTTGTGGTTGCATTGCATAAAGAATATTATAGAAATGCAATGCAATTCCTTTTTTCCCCACTCAGTTTTCAAGGTAATATTGGTTAAAAAAAAAAAAAATCACATAGCTCTCCACAGCAGTTTTCTGCAAAACTGACAACAGTTTTGACAATCATGTCACTCAGTGGTTTATGTGCCAAAGGTATCACTGACCAAAGCTGTCCCCATATATCCCAGTCACTTGATTCACGGTTTAACATTCAGCTTTCAGTTCTTGTAAGTACTTATCCTGAACACATTTACAGACACTTCGAAATAACAAGGTGCTAGCCTTTTGCCCTCAGAAACACAGACTGACAGTAAGAAAGGAAAGCTCAGCTGGACCGGTAGTCATCCTCATCTGCTATTGCATAACCTGCTGCTTCTGCTATAAGCAGCAGGACTCCATTTTCTAAAGTTTAGTTCAAGACAGTAATGGAAAGTGCTTCTGTGCCTCACAAATCTCAGCTAACAGAGATCATTAACTCACTATCAGTGCCACCTTCCTGCATGGTGAAAGATGAGGTAAGGGCATGAGAAAAGATTACAGTGCATTATGTTTTCTTAAAGCAATGATAAACTCAAGTAGCCTGAGCATCGGTAGCTATTGTAACAGACGATGGTGGGTGGTTGTGTTCTCGATGTGCAGGGACTTGCAAGTAAGTTTAAATAACAAAAGTATAGATGATTGATTCTTGACAACCAAAAGAAACTAAATTAATCAGAAAGTGTTTCTCCTGGTGGAAGTGAGGATACAGGGTGCAGACTGTGATGCACGTATTCGTTCAGTGAGGGAACTATCAAAGTAAAAGAAACTTTGGAGTCAGAGTCCCATGATAGCATACAGTAACCTTATCTTCCCTGTTCTGGAGCAAAACACCACAGCATAAATAACGTTATCACATGCACTTATAGTTCCTGTTTTTTTTTTAAGAGGAATATAATAGTTTTTGTCTTAAAAATATACTTTAGGTGATAAAATTTTATTATTGGTTATTATTTTCTACAGAGAAGAGAAGATGGATAGTAAATATACAAGACATCATAAACCTGTGATGGGAAGTAGGCAATGAGAACTTTGATATTGTTCCTCTATTTTTTGGCTGTCCTTGTGAAATCAATGTAAGTTATCATCGTCAGCCAAACTGTTTACTTCATAGATTCTCCATTTTTCCCAGAGGTTTCCTGACAACTCCCTACAATGGCAAGAAGCCAACATTTCTACTTCGAAAATCCATCAAAAAACCTTCATTTCAGTCCTGGCCAAGAGGTCATAAAATTTTAGAACTATAAACTGAGAAGTGCTTTGGAGAAGAGCATGGAGACAGTTGCAGATAAATTGGGACTACAGCCGTGGCTCTACATTCTGTGTAAATCTGTAGGTCAGAGAAAGCTTTGTGTGATAGATCAGCTTGGCACAAAATACAAGACCAGCTCAAAATATGTATATGCCAGGTGGAACCTGAAAAAACATTTATCTAAGTCCCATAGGCTCTGTGGATGTATTAGCTACGATGCATCATCTGATGCACACAATGAAATACAGGCATTGCAATGAACCCGCTGCATGAACTTGTATTAGACTATCCAAGTAAAGTCAAAATGTCTCACAATTAAAATCACAAATACTGATTTTATATTGTTCTTTAATGAAGCATTTATTTTAAGAGCTACAAATATGTTACACAAATTTCATGTTGAATGTTGATGAGTGAGACTCCTTCTGTCATTTTCTTTTGTTCTTAAAATGGTGCTTAATTTGAGCTCAGACCAAATGAGCAGAGATTCGGTGACCTGAAAGAGAGAGAAAGTGATTTGTTAATTTCACATTCATTTGTACAATGGTCATGTAAGATTGCGAAATATTATTAAACTTTTCAATTTGATTTTGGTTTTGATTTTTCTTACTGAGCTCAGTAGCTGGAAAAATAGTTGATAGCTGAGCATGATGCTGAGAACTTTGAGCTTCCTTACTAAAAGCCCACCCAAAATATCAGTAAGAACAAAGTACAAGCAGATATTAAAGGAAAACACAATACAAAAATCAAAGTGGAGCAAAGGTTGGTGGGGAAGTACAAACCTCGTGATCTGAAAATCATATTGAAAGAGAAAGGAAACAAGGGAAACAGGAATGGGAGAAGAAAAACACTACAGTAAAAGACAAAATGAAAATAGATAGGGAAAAAGAAAACTCCATTTTTTTTCAAGTGTGGAGAGAGACAAGGCTATCTGCAAGGAAACACAGATTTTCCACATGGAAACTCTTTTTTTTGGTGAACCTTCTTATATAATCTGATTGTCTAAATTTGCAGACACAACTAGAACGAAATACTAATGCTTCTGCCTTTCCAGCCTGCTGCTCTTACTTCTGAGATTCCCTCTTCATGGATACTTGACAAAGTGGTGACCAAAATGCTGTCCTGTCCTTCACAATCACACCTGCTGAAGTGTTTTTGAGAATCACCTTGTGCAGTGACTATGAAACATTCAAAATATCACAGATACATAAAATGCAGTACCTTGACTGAATCTGCTGCAACCTCGTGTAGTACTCTCCAGATGACGTTCAGGACACTCCTCATTTCTGTGGCTTCCAAATGCTCTTGATTGTCACTTCTCTTCTTCAGATTTTCACTTTCATGCTACTTAATGTTCCGTATCGCATTTTCACACCAAATCCAAGGCTAGTCTTTAGGTTTTGATTACACAATAGCGTGTAACACAGTAGATGGAATATGAGTATCATCATATCCTAAATACAGTCTTGAAAGCTAGTATGGATGGCTTGACACTGAGTCAGCACGCTACTGGTGTCCTCTGTGAGCTGGGGAAGACAAAGATAGCGTGTTCTGGCATTCTCTGAGCAAGACCTCTACAGAAGGCGTGGGAAAAGATAACAGGCAGTGCTGAATGACTCCTCACTGTGATTTTTTGCTTGCTCTGAGGTCGCGTTTGGAGGAGAGGACACCATGATGCTTGGCACTGTATAAATGTATGAAAATGCTCAACAGAGGTTATGTAAGCCTGTGCAATAGTGACAGAGATCAACACATATTTTGCGAAAGAACTAACAAAGAGGTGCAGTACTAGGCAAAGCACTCAAAATTTTATAATTACTGAAATGTTAACAGGTTAATGAGCTCACTAAGGGAGAGAAGCCTTCAGTGGAACCTGCAATAGATGTCATTGCATACACAAAGAAAATTGTTCCATTTATATCAGCCCAGCTGAGAAAACAACAGGGACAGACTTTACAAATTGCTGCCTAATTTCCTAGGAATGACTAATGTGCAAAATAAGCTAACTGCTCCTGGAAAGTCATTCTCTGCAAAAGACATTTGGGATCATCGCACCTGCTTAACCATTGTCATGCTTCAGAAACAAGGCTAGTTAATACAAGGTGGATATACTCACTTCCTTCTGAAATGAAACTTAAAATTAAAAAGAAATGTAAAATTGCTTTTAGAGCCTTTCCTCTGTGAAGAAACATGGTCTTCACAAATCATTTTCATACAGCGTTGTATTAAAATCAAATATTTCTTCAGTTGTTATTTCTCAAGGTGGCTAAAACTTTGGAATCAACCAAAGCAGGCTGACTCTTCTCTATAGTACAGCAAACCCAGCCAAGCCTATAAAATCAAAGGTCTATCACAACTCATTTTTATATATGCTATGCAAGCATAATCTCACCTGTCATGGTGTCTTTCCTAGAAGTGTGTTCTCCCTTACTTCCATGGTAAGTAGCGTTTGTTCCAGTTGATTCATAGTCTGTTTTTCTTTCTTTTAGGCTGATCATTTCCCGAGGTGAGGCTGGGGCACTTGCTAGATCATAAAAATGGATTTATTTTTTCTCGCCACATATGACTGAATGTAGTGTTTAACTTTACAGTAAATATTTTAGTAAAGGTTATATTTATTAGCATAGTAACATTAAGCTGTTTGAAGAAACAATACCCCATTATGGAAGAAAAGAAAAGGTGCCGTTACTTCAAATACAGGACAAACATACTCATGGGATAAAAAACTCCAAACATAATTTTCTCTCTGAATGTTTTACTTTTTTAACTTACACTCAGCATCTAAAACGATCATTAAGAAAAAAGTACAATAATAATGATTTTTTTTCTTCCCCTTTAGCTTTTTAATTTCTTTTATCCTGTCAAAACTTTCTGGCATAGGCACTTCCATTTTTTTCTCAAAATGGTTAATTTACTTCTGTTGAAAAGACCATTAACTGTCAACTGTGTGGAAAAACTCTTATGAAATGGTTTCCTCCCTTCTCTGTTGAAAATAAACAAACCCATTAAAAGATTCTAATGGTAACAGGAAGAGAAGAAAGGTGTTTTTCATAGAAAGCGTAGCAAAGAATGCCTAACAAAGGTAACTCAAATAATTTATCTGTCTTTAAATATCTATCTATGAACAATTGCCATTGTTCATACATAGATATTGCCATACCTTAAAGTAACAACAACTGTTACTTTAAGGTATCATTAAAACTAAATTCTTCATTACAGATGCTCGTGGTATAGCTAAAAGGAGGAAAGTACGAGGTGACTAGGGGAACTGGGTTTGTACTTAATTCTCACATGCTGGAAAACGTGAAGGTGATTACTGGCACTGATCATGAAGCCTTAGAGCTTGTGATGCTTAGGAAAAGGAGAAAAGCAGAGAAAATAATGGCTTTCAAGTAAACTGACTTCAGTATAGTAAGGTGTTGGTATATACAATGCATTTGCCCTGTTGTGGAGGGGAGGGGAAGGAGTACAAGGTGCGTGGCAGAGCACCCCAGAGCCTTGTGAAGGCACAGTGGTACAAAAATAACTGAAGTGCTGGTGCTTACTTTCACCCCGTCCCCTGCCTCCACCCAGATATTTGATACGTCAAATGAAGTTCAAAACCAACAACAATGTCCTTGCTTAAAAAAAAGGAAAAAAATTAAAAATACAAGACAAACTCATTTGTGAAGCTTGATTGTGAATTATGTCTTTCCGCATCTCTAAATTATGTTACAGTTTTTAGTTAAGGAGTAGGGAAGCACTTACACTTAATTAGGGAGTAGGGAAGCACCAGTGATACTGAATTCTGCTTAGGTTGGTTCTGCTGGCCCTGGCCTCTGCATTTACAGAGCAAATGTAGGACAGATGGTTTTTCTCATGAAGCCATTAGAATTGGGGATTGCTTTTAAATTCCTTGTCAATAGTGATGTAATTCTAAGCTGATAATCCAGCAAATATAAAGAAACATGACATTAAATTACCAAATCAGCTAATGGCAACTTGAGTCTAACGGGGAAAAAAACAGAATGCAAGCCATGAAAAACTTGCTGACACAGGGATACATTTTGTTTCACACACTCTGGTAATGCTTTTAAGCACTCTAGTGTTTTGAACAAAATTGACTGATAAAGACAAAACCACCTCTCTGTTCCCTGTGGGAATTCTCTGTCTTCTCTCATACGAGAACAACTGCTTTCTGGTAAGTGGTAAAATCCAGAAGTGCCCTCTTTCAGAGTTTTTACTGGAAGCAGACATAAAATTATTGGTTGGCATTAGACTGAAAAAGTGATTATCAAGGCTTTCTGCTCTTATTCTTAATGGACACAGAAAAGAAGACAGAGGTCTCTACACTAGTTAAAGCATCTTATCACCAAGTCCTAGAGATGGATGGGACATTGTGAGTTCATTTACTTCAACTCTTTACCCCAAGGTAGGATTCAGTATACCAAAATAATTCTTGACAGATTTTCATCTAAAACTAAAGATCTCTAATGACAGAGACCACATAACAGCTCCAAGCAGTCTGTTCCAGTGCTTTGTTTCCCTACTGTTCCCTGATGTCTAGCCTGACTCCTTGCTGCTCATTATTTCCCATTTGTCTGCTATGAAAGTAGAGAAAGTTCATGCCGTTCCTCTTCACAGCTGGCTGCTACGTGCTTGAATACTTGATGAATATCTCTGCCCACTGCCCCCATCTTGTGCCTTTCTTACTTAAGTTAAACTATTACAGTCCTTTCAGTGGGTCCTCATATCCCGATTTCTCCATCTCCCAATTCACGTTTGCAACGGACAAAAATCTCTAAATCATTCCTAAAGAACTTTTGTCTAGCCAGATACTCTCCTTATAATTTATTCGTAAAGGTCTGGATGTTTTTTCCCTTTGGACAGTATCTCTGATTTTCAGGATCACTCTGAATTCCAATAACGCCCTTCAAGGTACATGAGTTTCTCCCAGGTTTATGTCGACTGCAAAGGTAACAGGCATTCTTTGTATATTATCTGGGTCATTCATGAAACCACTGAAGAGTACTGAACCCAAGGCAAACCTCCAAGCAAAGCATTCTTCCATTTTTGGCAATGATCAATCTGTATTTACCACACATGACATTTTCTGGACTGTTGGTGAGCTTGCCCTAGCTTGGCCATAAAGAGTGTTACTGATTACAGTAGATTTCATTTATTGACTATTATTTCCACAAAGCATTTTAAGTATGTTGTAGCAGGAATTCAGGTGGATTTTGTAACAACAAATCGTATTGAACCAATGTTTGGATTTGACATGGATACTACCAGACAGACAGTAACTTATACTACCATGGAGAAACAGAAACTCTTAGAGTTAAGCGGTATTGTAGGTTCCTATCATCTTTGAGGTGCTGAGACTGCGATTATTTGTTCCAGCAATTTCCTAGAATGAAGTTGACCTGATTGATCTGTAATTACAAGGGCTCCTCTTCCTTCAGAAACAGCCAATATCTTTGTCCTTTTCCAGTCTTAAGATAACCGATGATGGAAGTAAGATTTAATCCAAAATTTCTCTAAGTATGTTCTTTAAGCAAAAGAGTAATGAAATGAGGAGACAGTTCTGGCAAAAGAGGACTAAGATTTCAGGGCCAGGCATTTCAACTGCATTGCACTTACAGTCAAAATGAGATTCTGGAGAAGAAAAAAAGGAACAAGAGTCTTTTATGGACTTGTGTAATGCAGTACAGTTTTCTCTGTACTTCCGGCTACATTTTCAAACTTTCTCAGTGGTTGTTCTGAAGGACTAAGATGCAGCTTCTAGATAATTAAAAATTTTCTTAAAAACAAAACTATGGCACAATGCTGATGGCAAGAATCAGTTTGGCCAATTGTAATCCTAAACTCTTGGTATGACTATGAGTGGCAGTGTTTGATTGAACAAGTAGTAAAAAGCACATTGAAAGGCTGATTTTTATTTTGTTTATCTTAGAAGACTTTCACTGGGAATGGTTTTATCTAACCAAAGTATGTTCTACCTTAGAATAAGCTGAGGGGAAAATCCTCAGATTTCTGAATAGAAAAATTAATGAACACTGTAGCATAAGTTGAGATACTTACATTAATTCATTGTATGGATCCTATAGAATTAATGATAGCTAGTGTAAATATGCCATCAACATCACATGAAGACCTAAAGTCAATCTTCTGTGAAACTCATATATGCATGTGTACACACCCTTATGTACACATATACATATAACCAGAATAAAAGGTGACCAAAAAGTAACGTGGATCCTTCAACTTCTGCTAAGTGTGCAGAGCGGTCATAAACAACATAGTGGTTTTCATGACTAGCAAAGTGAGTAACAGAATTCCTCATGTTACAGTGGATACCATTGCCCTGAGATCTAGTCAGGTAATTCCAATCAGGAAAACACTGCATGAGAATTCTAACAAAAAGTTAATGGAGTATTCTTTCTGCTGTAAAACTTTACAAGGTGTTAATAAAAAAAAATATTCATATTTTGAACAGATAATTCAGGTAATACTAAAGAATATATTTTGTGCCTTTCCACCACTGTTAACAAAAAATCCGGCTGCCAAATCCAACATTGCTTGAAGAAGGAAAAAATGATAGTGATGGATTACTTCAGTTCTGAAAGTCTGCTCTTACCTGAGCGGTTGTTAGGAGACATGCGCACAGGAGAGATGGAGGGAGTGCGTGATGAAGAGTACGGTCTTTGCCGATCCCTTTCTATTGTTGAAGATGAGGCTACAAAGTGATACTGCGACCATCCATCCTGGAACATCAAACATTGAGACAGCAGTCAGTGGAAACGCCATACAGTTCCCCATTTTAAGAACAGAGTATTTTCCTCCAGTGTTTTCACTACGTATGCACAAGTGGGCTACTGTCTGTTTTCCTGCCACTGGGTGGCAAATATTCTTAGCGGTGCAGGATACGATGCGCTGACTGTACTGACACACCGGGAGAAAAAATAAAATGCAGAAAATTCTGTAAATAACACATTTCAGAAAGACTCAAATTATGAAAACACTGAACAACTTTTTAGGCTATTTGTTTAATAGTTCTGTCTTTTTCCATGCCTTTATTTTCACATTGTGAATGCTGTTCTGGCTATGAAGATATGCCAAATTTTAAGACTGCTTGTTTTCATGGTCAAAATCAGTTTTTGCTTGAAATCTTTTCTATCTTATAAGGAAGTTTTGGAGTAAGTAGATGGGGAAGCTCCAGGATTATCAAGATTATTGTAACTACTTGTGTACCTATAGTCTAGTTATATCAACTGCCCATTTGTTTGCATGCAAGGAAAAAGAATCAATGCATTTTCCTGGTTGCATTTTTCTCCAAGATGTACAGAAAGAAGTTCTATTCCTTCTATTTGAGACTGTGGTAATGGTGATGTATTTTTTAAAAAAGAAACAAAGTAATAGAAACACAAGAAACATCTAGTTCAGAAATAAAAAAAGGGGGTTTTAATAATTTATGTTTTGTGCTTGTACCACAATACAATGCGATAATCCAAAATAATGTACTTTACATTTTTAAATAGATATTAAAAATAGCTTGAAAGTGTCATGAGAGAATAAATAGACTTTTGCTAGTGCTCTTATTAAACAAAAGTATTTCAAATAATGTACTGATAGATTTTAACTGTCTTTATCACTGCTTAATGTTAAATCTAAATCAGTAACACAGTTTTTCCAGTCTCTCACTGAAGGCGTATGCCTTTTAAAAATGCCTTCTTTCTGTTAGGCTCAATGGAAATCTAGTCAAGCACTTGGCACGGCACTAAACAAAATTTTTGCAGTGAAATGCTGAATAAAACCAAACGCAATATAATACCACGAAAAAAACAGCTGGAATTTTCTTCTTGTTTACAGAAAAACAATTATCTGTTGGGGTAGTAAAGAATATTTACCCTATCTGTACCTCAGGCGTCCAACCCCGACTCCGACCCCCTCCCACTCTGCCTTTGCTCAAGGCCATCTCTCTGACTTTGTTCCCTCCACAGAAACCACAGGCACCTGGCTCTTGGAATTGCAAGAGAAAATGGCCTGAAAAATCCCCCTTCTGCTAAACTTTTAAGCAAGAGAACTCAGCAAGAGTGTGACACTTTTTTTTTTAAAAAACAGCAGGAGGAAAGAAGATACTTATACTTGATGTAGAGGGAACCGTTGTAAGTAAATTAGGATAGACAGATGTGACACCTAACTACAGATTCTGAATGTCTGTACTCCTTATATAACACATTTGTATAAACATGCATGTATCTCAGCAGTGATTTCAGAGGAAAAGAAAAGGAAGAGAGGTGTCTGGGCAGAGCTTTCATAGTAGAGTCACGACTTTCCCTAGAGTAGATAGTGAGTTATCTGTCCACAGAAGTCTCTCATGTTTAGGACACTTCACTGAACTGCACCTCATATTTCATGATAGTCATATAAGAAAATGTAAGGAAAAAAAGAGTTAGTTAATAAAAAATAAGAGTAAGTTGAAAAGAGAAATAGTTAATCTTTAATACCACTTGCTTAAACCAACATTTTCTATACCTAG